AAACACCTATCAATATTTTCTGAAGAAGTTTCTTTGGTTTTGCCTACCTTTTGATAAACTAGGAGAAAAGGGCATTTATTTCCCACACAGAGAATAGAGTGATTGCAGAATTTATAAAAATTGCCTCATTTGAAATCTTTCAGCCTTCTGAACATCATTGATCATCATGACCATTGATTTATACACAGTGTTGGTACTCCTCTGGGACACAGTCAGATGCTCAATGGGAACAGAAGATGCGTGAGCTTCCTAAAGAGGGTAGGGGTTCTGAACACATCCTGCCCAGCCTACTACTTCTTTACAGATTATTTTTCACTAACAATTGGACCACAGGAATTAAATTTGTGTTAAAAGAAAAGAAAGCAGGTGGTGATTACGCTCTATCCTAGTGACTGAGTGTCACTTGGAAGGACAGAGCAGTCCCAAAGTGCTGAACATAAGCTTGAAATCCTTAGCTATGCTCATGACTCTTTAGAGCATTTCCCCATCACCACAAACTGGAGGATCTCATGCTATGGATATGTTTACTCTTACATAAAAAGCCATGATTGGGGAGGGCTCTTCCTCTTGTTGTTTCACGAGCAGCTACAGCACATGTGGGTGGACAGATGCTCCAGGCAGCTTTCCAAAGGCCACAAGTCCCCTCAGCAGAGCACCTGGTGTGCACGCTGCATCTCGTAAGTGACCACAATTCAGCCTCAGGCTCTAGAAACTCTCTCTACCGATGGCTGTGACAAGAGACACCAGAGCCCTTCTATGAAGGATGCTGCTGCAGCAAGGAAGGACCACGATCATCTTTCTTGCCCGTCATGGTCACACAAAGAGAACCTAGGGTGGTCACCCTGTGCCAGCGCCTATCCACACTCCAGACAAGCACAGATACTTCCAGCATGCTCTTTCCCAATCCAACCCTGTGATCACAGCTTGCTTTGGCCCATTCTGCTATTAGGTCTCTGCTACTTCACAAGCAGATGAAGATGCCCTGGCCGAGATCTCCTCAGACCGGTCCATACGGTCTGCAGGACCAAAAGGGCTTTTGGAAACATGCCCCATTTCCTGATGAGCTCTGCTGTTTAATCACATAATTACAACCCAAGACGAGAGTGTAAATGGTCATGTGGCTACATTTAAGAAGAAATATTCTGCATGAAAAAAGAAATAGCTATTTACTGAGCCACAGATGCCATCACAGCATTAAAAACTTTAAGGGGAAGGAATAACAAAAAAAAAAAAAATAAAAAAAAATTTTTTAAAAAGCACATTTAATTGCTATGCAACTCCTGCACAGTTCTGGGTTGATGGCTGGACTGGAAGGCTGCGAGCAGCACCCACCTGTGCGGGCCAGCGGTCGGGCTCCAGGTTTGCTAATGCGTAAGGCAGCATTAACGAAGATGGTCACAGAAAACAGCTCCATTTGATGCAGTTCTGAACACCGAAGGATACCAAGGTAATGGATTCATAAACACACTGATGCAGCTAATGCGTTCCTAACTTTTGCCTAAGGGATTGAACCTTTTAAAAATACAGCTGATTTGATCTGAAAGCTTCTTTGTAAATACTTCAGACAGTTGAACAGCCAAAAAAAGTTAAAAAAGAAACACTGTATCTTAAAAAACCTTATTGTAGAAATACTATGGCAACTCAGGGGAAAAAAGGAAGAGAGAACGATGACGTATGTGGAGAAAATACCACTGCTGAAAAAAAGGAAATTACATTGTAATTATATCAGCCTTTTATTATTATATTTTTATTATAATTCAAGGTAATGTTTCAGCATATCTGCACATAATGCGAACATCGCGTTCAAAACTGGTTGAGATCCAAAATGAGTGAGAAGAAAACACACGGATTTCAATGTTAAACTGCCACACTGTAATGCCAGCTGGAAAAATTGTCGTTTCCTTCCTCTCACTTGCACCCAGGACTGGCAGAACATCCCATCCCAGGCTTCACTTTTCCTCATGTCTGAGATGCCAGTGTAAGCTCTGCTTTTTGATTTCCTAGCCCATCACCTGTATCTTCCCTGCTTGGTTCACTGCAGGGATGAGTGACAGGCCACTGTTGTGAGAGGTGGCAGAGGAGGGGACTAGGAAAGGAAAGTTGCTTCAACTAACACCCAGATTCAATAGTAGCATCTCCTTTGGTGAAGGGAGGAGGTAAAACAGACAGTATCAGGCAAGGGGGGGGGAAGAGAGACAAGTAGGAGACCATAAACATTTCTGCCAGCCCCAACTGTCAGTGTACAAAAAGTCGTCAAGAAAAAGGTTGCAAGAAAAGATTGTGTGGTATCTATGGCAATGGCAGAGGGGACAACTGCTCCTGATGCAAAAAGAATAAGAATTGTGTGACTCTTTAGAGAACTCAGTAAGAACAGAGATGGAAAATATGCAAACACAACAGAATACAAAATACAAAAGGGTACGTAACGGGGGATGGATAACAAAGCCAGGTCAATGCAACAGAGGAAACAGAAACTGATTGTCAGATAAAGAGATGGAATTGAAGAGGATAGAGAAAACAATGCCCACAAAGAAAGCAGCAAACGAAGAAAATCTATTTGCAAACAGACATTAGGGAACAGGGGTGTATTTTAGTTTCTGATTTTTAAAGCCCTCTGTTTACTACCATAATTTTAATTTTGAACTTTTTTCCTTCATAAATTGAGTAGCCATATGGAAGAATGAACACTTTTGCTGTCACTGTCCACCACTGACATTGTAACTAGAGTTGATGCTCAGATATATTCAAACATATGAGCCATATACAGTAACCTTTAAACAACATGGAGACTGCAGAAAGGAGACTGACAAAAGCAGGGAGAGTCCCTCCTTTCTGACAACTTACATATTTTAAATTAATTTCCCCCCCTCTGTCCCCCATACCTCCTTTAACATTTCTCAAATGTGTATTAGGCGTAAGAGCTAATTTTACCAGAGGGGCCTGCTTCAGCATGCTTTTGATATTAGCAGAGGTTCAGTTATAAATGCCAAGCTGATATTTTTTCCAGAAGAAAACTAAAATCTTGAAACTTGCTCCTTTCAACCATTCAGCTACTTTTCAATTATAAAGCTACTGTGGGCTAAACTTGCAAACCACTCCTCAAAAAAATGAGTGTTTTTTTCTCTCAGGACCCTTAGCAAATACATACAGAATATAATATGGAAAGTAAGAATTGAAAGAGAATAAAGATATATACAGCCTTCTGAATAAAACAGATTCGTTCACAGGAATAATAATTAAGCATACATTTTAAATGTTGCTCCAGTATGCTTGTCCATCTTTTTATTTGATGATCTGTAAATGCTATTTCACAGGAAGATTAAATGTTGATTTAAATATCATGATAGAAGCCAAACGTCTTCATTTCCTTGCAGCCTTCTTGCTTTCATGTTCCACAATTTGTGATAGGACTTTTTTCACATTGTAAAAAAGCATAACTGCTTAGGAAAAGTTCATATTTAAGTTGGATTCTGGCACTCTTAAGAACAATAAGGACACATTTTGACAGTCTTACTCATACAAATACTGGTCTAATTTCATTAAAAACAATAAAAGAATGACATAAAAATAGGATCCAGCTCAAAACAAATCAAATTTTAAACATATGTGTTTGGTGTGTGTGTTTATGTGTATATGTACATATGTATAAACAACAAATCCACCTACAGAGAACTGTTGCAGTTTGTAAAATCACATCCTTAACTTGTCTTTTCATATACCATCAGTACGGGTATTTACCTTTACTAAGATGACCTGAAATTCATACTGCAGTGAAAATCCTGACCTTTCAGAAACTACCCGTGACCACACCATTAATCTGCAACCCAAAGGAAAAAGAGGTTTGTGCAACCTACTCTTAGCAAGGTATAAACATGTATACAAAATTGCTATTTCCAACAAACATTTCAATGTCGTGGACTTGGTGCTTTTTAGCAGGAAATTCTTCCTCTAGAATTCTTTTAAAATGCATTTGTTATAAAATCATACTTCTAA